AATGCCGGTAACATTAGCAGTTGAAAAGACAGTCAACCTGATGGGTTCTAGAAATGGAAGGAAATGCTTATAGTTGAAATCACCCCACAGTGTTTTGATTGGCAAAAGTTAATGGGCTGAGGTTGTCCACCTTGTTTATTTGGGGGTAGAGATGGTCATTAAATGGGACTACATGGGACTTGGGGACTGGAAGGATTCAGGTTTTCTATCTTCACTGACCTACAATCATCATGACCTACAACCATCATTTACCAATGCGATGTTGCAGCTGGTAAAGCAAACAAAACTCTGACTTGCATCCATAGATGCTTCTCAAGTAAATCCCAGGATGTCATCCTCCCACTGTCCTCAGCCTTGGTGAAGCCGCAGCTGGAGTACTGTATCCAGTTCTGGGCTCCACGATTCAAGAAGGATGTTGAGAAGCTTGAGAGAGTCCAGAGGAGAGTCATGCGCATGATCAGAGGACAAGAGAACAGGTCTTGTGAAGAGATGCTGAGAGCCATGGGACTCTTCAGCCTGGAAAAGCGCAGGCTCAGGGGGGACCTGGTGGCTGCTTATAAGTCTATAAGGCAGGGGCAGGCAATTGTTTGGGTGGAGGGCCGCTTACTGAGTTTTGGCAAGCCATCAAGGGCTGCATGACAGGCAGCCAGGGGTGATAAATATTCATTTTCTAAGTTTTTTAGGAGCCCCACAGGCCAGATAGAATGGCCTGGTGGGCCGCACCCAGTCCATGGGCCACATTTTACCCACCCCTAATATAATTGGTGTATATCAGGACCTGGGAGAACGTCTGTTCACCCGAGCACCTCAAGGAAAAACAAGGGCCAACAGTCATAAACTCCTCCAAGACCGTTTTAGGCTGGACATAAGAAAAAAATTCTTTACTGCCCGAGCCCCCAAGACCTGGTATAGACTCCCTCCAGAAGTGGTGCAGGCACCTACTCTGGACTCGTTCAAGAAATGCTTGGATGCTTATCTTGCTGGGATCCTTTGACCCTAGCTGACTTCCTGCCCCTGGGGCAGGGGGCTGGACTTGATAATCTTCGAGGTCCCTTCCAGCCCTAACATCTATGAAATCTATGAAATCATGGGCCTGTGAAATCTACTACTCGACTCTGTGGGTGCTGATTTTTTATCAGCTATTAAATAAAAGTACCAAAAAAACCCTGCCACTAAAGCGCTCAATCTTTACAGACACTGCAGAGCTGGGTAGAAATAATGTGCTGCCTCTTCTGGGCATGTGTGGGGCTCAGCATGTGAATGTGCTGAGTTAAAAGTAAAGTGCTGGATTTTTTTATTTTTTTTAAAAGCCTGAAAGCACCCACTGGCAAAAAACAGTCAGTTCCTATCACCACTAACACCATTGGGTCTTACTTGTCCTGAGCCTGAAAGATGTTCATATTAGGAAGGAAACTAACAGCATCTCACCTTGAATGATTTCAGCTAATTCCTTCAGGAAACTTGGAATGCAAGACTTATGTTCATTATGTCATCTTCTTCATTAGGTGTGCCTTTACTTCCTGTTCCTTATTCCTTCTCTTTGTTATCTTTTTCCTTTCAGGGGTTTTTTTTTTTTTGGTTTTGGGGGTTGTTTTGTTTTGGGTTGTTGTTTTTTGGGGGGGGGGTTGTGGGGAGCATTGTTTTGTTTGGGTTTTTTGGAGTTGGCTGGCCAAGGCTGTTTCTTTGTATCACTTTTGTAAACCTGCCTCTCATTGTACTAAGAAACCCACTAATGGTACAAATGTTTTAGGTATTGGAATGGTTCATAAGACTGTGCTATCCTGAAGTATCCAGGAGCAAGTTTAAAAGTCAGAGTCAGCTTCAGAAGCAGAATGTATGTTTTCTACAATAAATTGCTCTTATTTTCTGTCCTCTTTTGTGTTTATTTTTCCTATTCTGTCTGCAAGGAAACAGGATTGGACTTTAGTGATAACAGCACCAGCGTCTCCAGATCATCTCTCTTCTTTCCTCTGAAAAGGACTGTTTTTTATCCAGCTTTAATGCCATGTAAAAGACTGTCTCATGGGAGTATTTTTTAGTTCACTACAGATAGTGGAAAAGAAAGTAAGGGACATTGTTAAAGCCTGCCTTAATATTTTACATTTCAATAGTTTTAACTGATTTTTGTCTATAAATTTAATAAAATGTTAAAGACATTGGTAGCGTCATGCCAGTGATAATTTGACACAAACCCCCAACCATGCTTAAATACTGTAGTGGTGAATGAGAATTTTATTAACATTTTATCCTTTGCTGGGCCCAGGACACCCCTTTTTCAGCACCATAATACTTGGAGCTATTTATATAATACTGCAATCCTTGCAGAATTGAACAGAGAAAAATCTAAGAATTTGGCGCCCTCTACATGTGTAGGTAAAGGCCCGATGAGATCTAATGCACAATTCACACAATCACACGTCTTCCCATGCCACACATGCATGGCAGGAGATGCAATTGTGAGATCATGCATTAGATCCCATTGTGCCTTATTGCTGGTGTAGCGGGAGCCCAATCCCAAGCTCCCCCTGCACTGGCTAGAAACAAGCTGTCATGGCTGGGAATGGCATATACCCCACCTAAGGGACTCTGAGCTGTGGGGAGCCCTGTGTATTTCTGGTGGAAGGGGATCATGATCCCCCTGCCCATAGGTGCCGACTTTATTTTTTGCCGGTAGGTGCTTGCAGATGTTAAACCCCCCCAAAAACAGCACTTTACGTTAAACTTGGCACATTCCTATGCCAAGCCCTGTGCATGCCCAAAAGTAGCAGCACATTACTTCAACCCAGATCTGCAGTGTCTGTAAATAGTGGGTGCTTTAGTGGGGCTTTTTTAGTGGGGCTTTTAGCTAAAAGTGCCAAAAAGCCCTGCTGAAGCACCTGATCTTTACAGATGTTGCAGAGTTGGGTTGAAGTAATCCGCTGCTTCTTTTGGTAAAGCACAGGGGTTTTGTTGGGGTTTTTTTTGGGGGGTGGGGGTGATAAAACATCTACAAGCACCAAAATGGTCATGGCTCATGGGTGCTGAGCATCCACTAATTTTTTTGGTGAGTGTTTGAACCCTGGAGCACCCATGGAGTTGGTGCCTATGCCCCTGCCCCAGGGTTACATGAAATCTCTGGGGTGGGAGGATCTCTGCTGCAGCAATCTCTCTGCCCCAGGGGTGTGGGAAACCCCTGGGGCTGGAGGTTTGCTGCAGGTTTCCTAGTTTTCTGCACTCCCAGAGCAGGGAGACTTCCCCTGCAGTGATCCTCTGGCCCTGGGGCTTTCCCACACCCTGGAGCCCTAGGAATTGTGGCAGCTGGGAGCCCCCCAGGCCCGGAGGTTTCCCAAATGCCTGAACCCTAGGGATTCTGGTAATTGAATGCCTGAACTTCCCTCCCCTCCCCCACCAGTCTCCTGAGACCTGTGAGTGCCTTGAAACCCAGAGCGTAGGGCTTTTATACTGGGCATGGTGCATCGCTGCATTTGGGAGCCCTGCCGGCTGATGGGACTCCCAGCTGCAAGGGAGTCCCTGCCATATGTGCAAATTAAAGTTCAGTAGCAAGCAGCTATAAAGTTAGTACATGTTTTCAAAGTTTAACTTTATACCTGGTTGGAGCTTTTTATTGTGATAGCTATTTGGTGCATGTAGCTGGTTTCCAGGTTATTGTGC